AAATAAAAATATACAAAGCCCAAAGTTTGATATACTCTGGAGTCCTACCAGGAAACCAAGCTGTAGAAGGAGTAGGTTTTATATTGAAAGACAAATTATACAGGAAAGTTGTGGAATGGAAAGCAATGAGTCCATAAATGCATCTCTTATAAATCTGAGGAAACCAGAGATTAATGGTACCCAATTGACACATAGCAAGCAAGTAAAACACCTTGGAGTCATACTGGACCATAAATAGTCATGGACCAAACACGTTTAGTATGTGACAAGTAAAGCCCTTAAAAACCAAAGGGCCTACAAAAGAGCAATAGGAAAAAATTGGAGACTCAAATCTAAAATGGTATACTGGCTGTATATAACGACAGTCAGATCCATTATACTATAGTCAGCTTTGCTGTGGTGGCACAAAGCAAAGACTGTAGTTAATTCAACCTTATTAGGAAAAATTCAAAGAGTAGCTTGCCTAATGATAACGGTAGCAATGGGCTCCACACTGACTGCTGCTATGGGGATATTGTTGAACATGCCACCATTGCAGTTGGAGGTTGAAGCTCGGGCAACTAATGCATTATATAGGCTGAGTAAGCTAAAGAGCTGCTCCTATACACCTTGCCAAGAGGGACATACAAAACTGCTGAATAGGATTGGAAGTGATGAAGTGCTTGCCATGCAATCTGATACAATAATCCGTGAATTGCTGAAATGAAATTTCTACGAAGGACCATTGGAAAAACAAGGAGAGACCGAGTTCACAATGAAAGGATTTGTCAGGAACTCCAAACAGCCCCACTGAAAGAGCTCCTAGAAACTCGTCTTAAGGAGAAGAAGAAGGAAGTGATATGATTGTCGAAGTGTATGGGAGCTAAAAATTTTTCCAAAACATTAATTTCTAATGGCTAGTATTTTTATATACCCTCTCTTTAACTATTTTGGCAGACATGCAAACCATCTGACTAGTGGCAGAGATTTAATATTAATGTAATTTCATAAGAACCTTCACAGTTAATTTTTCATTAATTATTCAATATCTTAAAATCTCATACCTTACAAAAGATGTTATTTATATATTTTTTGAAACATGATAAATTTGAGGAATAATAGTGCTATATAAGCCTGGTTAGCTTTCATGCACAGAAAGAGGATAAAGATGAACAGAAGAAGGCTTTCTAAGCTGTGCTTGAGTCCACAGTTGGCAGATTGCCAAGACGTGAAGTGATGTCAAAATAGTATTAGGGGACTTCAACGCAAAAATCAGAAAGGAAGAAATGTTCTCCCCTACTATCGGCCCACATAGCTTGCACGTAGAGAGCAATGATAATGGATTTAAAGCAATTGACTTTGTTACCTCTGCGGGATTCAATATAATTAGTACATATTTCAACCATAAAAGCACTTATAAGGAAACATGGATTTCCCCTGATGGACTAACTAAGAACTAAATAGATCACGCCATGATTGCAAAAAGGCATGCTACAGATGTGATGTTTGGAGCTTCAGAGGCGCTGACTGCTCATCAGACCACTACATGGTCACGATACAATACTGCCAAAGGATTGCCAATCAGCCAAAGGGACAGAGAACAAAAGCCAAGAAGAATTGCCTGAAGAAACTGAAACACCCTGACGATAATAAGAGGTATGCAAAAAGAGTGGCTGTAAAGCTACAAGAATTTATAGATGGGAACGAAGGAATGGAAACTAGATGGAGCAAGATGGAGAAAGTGGTTACAGAGACAGCTAATGAGACTCTATTAATAATACATGGGTATCCCCAGAGCACATGGTTTGATGAGAAACGCAGGAGGAAGAAAGATAAAAGAAATAATGCCAGACTAGCAGTGCTTCAAAGAAGGACCAGAGCAAACATAGAAAGGCATAAAGCCCTAAGGAGAAGAATCAAGACCATGTGCAGGAAAAGAGCGCGAGAAGCGGAGAAAGCCAAGTTCCTCCAAGTGAAAGAGGAGTTTGGAGAGAAAAATAGAAGGAAGTTCTTTGGTATCCTCAAAGAACAAAAGGGAGACTTCAAGCCAAGGATAAGCTATATAAAGAAAGATAATGGTGAGCTGCTGGGAGACCCACTGGATGTTGTTAATAGGTGATCTCAATATTTCGAGAAGCTCTTAAACCCAGAAATGCCTGAGGAACTCGTTTCAAGCCCACCTAGGTGCATTGGATTGGCGCATGTAAATAGAGATGTTATAGAACCATCAGAAAAGAGAGAGGTTGCAGAAGTTCTTGCATCTCTAAAAAATTTACAAGCCCCCCCCCGGAGAGCATGAGATTCCTGCAGAGCTGTGGAAGAATGGAGGAGATAAATTGGCTGAGTAAATGTACCATCTGGTTTTTGACATCTGGGTGTCAGAAGAGATGCCAAAAGACTGGTCCACTGCATTAATATGCCCAGTTTATAAGAGGGGAACAAGATGGAATGTGAAAATTACAGAGGCGTTGCGTTGCTAAACACAGCATACAAAGTTTTCTCCATTTTGTTGATGAGCAAAATACTCCAATACTCTGCGAGAGAGGTCGGAGAATACTAGAGTGGATTCAGGAGTAGATTCACTATTGACCATATTTCAAGCATAAGGCCCATGCTGGAGAAATGCTATGAACATAATATTGATCTACACCATCTCTTCATAGACTACAAGCAAGACTATACGAGTGTAGATCAAGGCAAGTTGTATCCCCACTGAATGGGTATCCCAGAAAAACTGATAAGATTAATGTATCGACTTTGGAAGGAACACAAGGAAGAGTAAAAATGCAAAGTGCAAAGTGCAGTTGCTTCCATATGAACAAAGGATTAAGGCAAGGAGACCCCTGTCTCCCATCCTATTTAACATTGTTTCAGAAATAGTGATAAGGGCCATTAGAACAAATCCTAGGGGACCATCTTTAATCGATTGACACAGCATCTTGCTTTTGTGTATAACATTATTACTGGTCGCACACATGTATCTTTAATAGGAGCTTTTGAGGAATGTGAACAGGCTTCAAAAATGGCGAGACTTAAAATTAATGAAGTTAAAACATAATATGAAGACCTCCCAGGGTGGTTGTGGGGCAAGGAATGATCATAGGACTGGAGAATACTTTTTCGAGCAAGTATAGGAGTTTAAATACCTTGGGCCAATATAAACGAAAAGAATGACATACAGGCAGAAATAAAGTCACGCATGATGGACAGAAATAGATGTTGCTGGGCGCTCAGAAAAGTATTTAGGTCAAAGGAATTGCCCGAGCAGTTAAAGAACGCCGTGTATCTTAGAGTTGTTAGACCAGTGGTGACATATGGAAGTGAGACATGAATCCTCACCAAGAAATCAGAACAAGTGCTTAATTTGTGGGAGAGGAAAGTCCAGAGAAAGTTAAATATTCACGCTAATAATGAATATTCATATTTAACCACAGAATTTAATGATTCCTAAAAAAATTTGTTTAATCAAAGAAACTTATTTCTACGAACTTGTCACATGATACAATGCAATAGCATAAGAAAGTCAAAACCTAAAGATGGAAATAATTTTTCAGGTATGTTCCATAGTTTTAATGATACCACAAATTAAATTTTCTTGGAAGTACAATTTATAACAAAATGAGCTTCACTGCTTTATAGTTTAACACGATGCTACGCCACCAGTGGCTTGCACAAGACTGCCTCATCGAGCGGTATGTACCACTCGTGACTCGAATATGATCGAGCGGTATGTACCACTCGTGACTCAAATTTGATTGTGTTATCAGGTGGTAAGTAACACCAAAAATTAAGATTCTTAAGTAGAAAAAATTGCAATGTAGTTGAAAATTAAAATAATGTAAATTTAATATGATAGAGAAATTGTTGACTGTCGATTTATATAAGAGAAATTAGTTGGAGATTGCAGTCATTGGAAGTACACAAAAATAAATTAATTATTTTCTTTATGTGTGAATGTTTAATGTAGCCCTAATATTAAAGCCCTCCAATGTGGCAGAATGTATTAATTTTCAAATAAAAATAAAAATAAATAATTTTCTTTGTACTGACCATTCAACCCAAGTTTTAGGCTTTCATCAGAGCTAGGCAAAGAATATATAACAAATCAATACTGAGAACATAATCAGATAGGTATGTGTAAATACATATCTTTTATATATACCTTCTAATTTAATAATTTAATAGGGCCCTGATGAAGACCTGGAACTTGGGCTAACACGTCACCACAAAAAAAAAAAGTATAATTTATTTATTGTGTACTTCCAATGACTGCAATCTCCCCTTTTCCCCCCACCAATTTCTCTTATATGAAATTTTAATGAGTATTAATTTAACACATTTATTTTTAATAACAATTATAATTAATAACATAATTAATGACTCTGCTACAAGGATTTTAAAATACTTTTACAAGAAAGAAATTAGGAACTGACAAAAATAGTCAAAAGCTGGAAAAGGATGATGAGAAAGTTTAACAGAGGAGCCAATTATAAACACAGTAGGAAAGTTATGGTAATGTTTCATGCATGATGACCGAACACAATTACTTTCAAAGACATTAGTACAGAAGTCGTGGAAAGCCCTGCATGCTTTCTATGCCAGGAGAATGAGATGTACGTCTTCCCAGTATGCCCTGTTGTATCTGACATTCATAATAATAGTACCATTCCTGATGTGATGGACACAGCTGCTTGCTGTAGAAGCCATAAACATCAACTTAGAGAATGCCATCATGGAAAAACGGTATTGGGCTGCCAGAAGCCCAATGGTCTTATTGCCATTGGCATAGACGTTGATAAAAAAAGAAGAAATAACCAATTAATACAGAAGATCAATAAAAAAATATATCAGACTAAGATGCTCGCAATAGGTAATCATAATTAAGCAGTGTCAAGCCTGGTAAGGTGCTTGGATAGGTGAACGTACAACAAGGAATGACATGCTGCCTGAGGTTCTCAGTTATGTGAAACCCATCAACCTACTGGAGGCAACTCGACCCATTGGACCTAAACCTGTGTACTTTAATCAGGAATTGAGATGTGATTTTCCAGAATGTCAGTAGGTAGCCCCCAGAGGTTTGGTCCATGGATGGCCTGTTTCAGACAAAAAAAAATATATGTCCTTGCACACCTGCTGAATTTGAGCAATCATAATCCATGAATCTAGACTGATTTGTCTAGATTGGACGCAAAGAGATCGGCTATGGAACTATGGGTGGTCTGCCGCCACAACATGGAGAGACCAAGGTGAGTAGCAACATAACGTTGGGTGACCCTTCTTCCGTGCTCCTACAAGCAATATATATCTGAAAGAAGAGCACATTCAAAGGTCAAAGCCAAAGACCTCCATGGTTTATGACCAACAGATAAAAATAATGAAAAAGAATTTGTAAATTGATGGGTTAAGGTAAAGATGATATCAAAGGAGTCCATCAAGTTCAGTTAAATATTTGTAAAACATAAAAGTAATTACATAACCCATAGCCAAGACAAATGGTACAGGTTAACATTGAGGTTATTTTAATATGTAGCACAAAGAATTCATAGTACTTATTTTTATAAAAAACAACAACAAAGAAATAGAAATTAACCTGAAACAAACAGCCATAAGACCGGCTTCATCCAATGTCCGTGGAGGTACTGGCTTACCAGATGGGTTTTTAATTATTACACTACTGGCACCCTGCACATCAGCATGTACATAAAGATCACCTGCCTTCATATACCTTTTAACAATAATTTCATTTTGTTTTTGATCACGTCCTCCTATAACTATTCAATTTAGGAGTAAAAAAAATGTATATATATATATATATATATATATAGAAATTAAAAGAACATAGATATCAAAACTATATTAAGTGTAAATTAATATAAAAATATTTACAATGATTGATATTCATATTTAAAACAAATTAATAAATAAATAACCACTAAAAATCTTAAGCAATTTATATATATCACATTACATCAAATATAAGACATCCTCAACTTAAAGATACATCTGTTATTTTCATTGGTCTAGTTGAAAATTTGATAAATGAAATAATTATGAAATATTAGGATTCAGAGAAATTGGAAAAAACATTTATTTTTTCTTAAAACATTATTTTTTAAGTATTAAAAAAATATAAATGAATAAAAGCTTAATTTATTAATTTTACAAAGCGACAGCAGGTCCTTATAAATTTTATTGATCGAATTGATGTAATAAAAAACGTATTTTGTGAATGTTTAGATGTAAAATCTTAGCAGAAATTAAAACAGTATTATTTTTATGTTTTGTGGATCTATGGAAGACCTTTGACCAGATTAGAAAAAAGGATATAGTTGATGCACTGGAAGAGAAAGGAGTAAAAAAATGGACTTATTAGGGCTGTAAGCAGTTTATACCATAAAAGCAGGAATCTGGTTAGAACAAGTAACCACACTTCTCCAGAGTTCGAAACAATACGAGACATATGTTAGGGTTCCAGCCTGAGCCCTCTTCTTTTTGTATTCGTTCTCGATCTGGTGCTGGGAAGAGCAAGGAAATGATGTGGATCTATAAGCTGGCATATAGAGATATGCAGCCTACTCTTTACTCCGGTTGGGTTTGCAGACGACCTGGTCATATTGGTCTAGAATTACAGTGACCTCCAAAACAATTGTAATATCCTCAAGGATGAATTAAGAGCTATTAATATTGAAATCAATCATCAGAAAACCAAATGCATGCACATTGAAAGAAAAACTCACAGGGTTATGAGGGTATCGAGGACAGAGAGCAAGAATTTGGAGTAGGTGAAAAGTTTTAAATATTTGTGTGGATGCTCAACTCAACAGAAGCTGATTTATCAACCAGAAGATGAGGCAATGTATAGGAACAGCAGGAAGGATGTTCTATTTGGTTAGAAGAGGCTTTATTAAATGAAGAGATGTTACAAAGAGAACAAAGACGGTGGTGTACAGACCGGTGCTCTTTCCAATTCTAACACATTCTTCTGAGTCCTGGATCCTCACTTCGAAGCAAAGGAGATCCAGTCCCTAGAGCTGTGATTACTCAAGATGGTGGAAGGGAAGAGCAGGTAAGACTGACAGGATTCTCAACACTACCACCCGAGCCTACCTTAAGGTCGAACCAGTGGAAGTCATTCTAGAAGAACATAAATTAAGATGGTTTGGCCACCTTTTCCTTATGGATCAGTGCAGAGTCGCAATGACATATAAAATAAAAACCTATAAAACTTATGGCAGAGAAGAAGACCAAGAGGAAGGCCCCGAATCTCCTGGGAAGAAAGATATATAGATAAATCATATAAATTAAATTTTAACCTTAAAATATAAGACTGGACCAACTTCTACAAAAAAAAAAAAAAAAAAAAAAAAAAAGTGTTTCCTTAATTCATTTTCACAATTAAATAAATAAAAGAATAACAAAATAAATAATCTATAATCAGAGAATCAATGAATTATAATGATAATAACGGCTAACAGAGGCTCAACAAGCAGTTTTCTTAGAAACAATAAGAGTAATTAGAAACTTTTTAAATATTTGAAGAAAAACAAATGTATACCTGTAGGTGGTTGGACTATTCACCCCACCTTCAGTTTCAAATCCTTAAAATTGAGAAAAATTAAAATAATAATTATTACATATCTTACAATGATGAAAATGAACATAAAGTGGTCAGATAGAAGATGAGAAAATACCTACAGCTCTGAGAGGGACTCAAGCAACTCAATAGTCTGAAAGAAGGAAAAGTATTGCCCTTCATCATATTTTACAATGAACCAGTCCCGGAGAAAATAATTAGGAGTTATAAGGAATTGGGACATCCTGATTAAATCATAGGCCAAAAAGTTAAGCTACTAGGGACATCCAGTATCGTAAAAAAGTTTTTATTCCTGACCTGATGGAAATCTTTGCCTCTTCCTCAGTAAAGCCTATCTATGTATTCCAGATATGACATCCTTGGGGGTCGTCAATGTCTTCTGACATCCTGAACATAGTCCATCGTCTTCTATGGGTCTATTGTAGTAGATGGCCTCTAGTATCTACTCCTTTATGTGACATTGAATGAGGGAATGAGAAGGAATGTATAGGAATGTAGGGTTGCACCATGAATTGGACTCAATTGTGCAGTGGACAATCTGTTTATTGAAAAGTATCAAATATATAAACAATTGACAAAAAAGGTACAGAACATAGAAAGGAAGAAGCCTGGAAAAGTACCAGCAGGTGGCAGCAGCTGGAGAAGAATATATGAAGCTACAAACTTCTTCAATTTATGGTATTTACAGTCTTAAAACATGAAATAATAGTCAGTTACCCAAACCCATAGATTTCAAATCGAAAAATTGAGTTTATGATTCAAAAAGTTTACTTTTTTCGGTTTTTTGCTTATATCAGTGAAACTAATATAATAATCTATTCTATCTATAATAATACGATATGTGAAATTAAAGCTGACAAAATTTGCTATAGAAATGGTGATATTAGTTTTTTGCTGTATTGTATAGTTTCCGTTATATCTGTCCTAGTAATTCACAAATTAAAAAAAAAAAAATTGCAGGCTAGATCAATTATAATTTAATAATAAAAAACCGAAACTATACAGAAAAACTTACTTTTCATAATTTTCGATATTTCACAGCTCTTAATCTGTATATAAGACAACATACATGTGTATAAATTGGCTTACATAATGTTCATATATATATACAGTCTTATATATATGTACATTATATATTTACACAAGATATTATATATTTACACAAGATATTATATATTTACACAAGATATTATATATTTACACAAGAGCTGTGTGATAACGAAAATTGCGAGAAGTACGTTATTTTGTATAGTTTCAGAATTTAATCATTAACTTATAATTGCTATAGCCTTTGAATCGTTGAAGATTAGAGAGTAAAGTAATATATATTCTTAAAGAAAATTTAATATTAAGCAACTTTCTTCCTCATGACTTTTTCATAAAATGAAAAGATAAAGAGTTGGAGAGTCAAATAATGATAAAAATGCGATGCAAAAAACTTTTTTGTCGAAATTATTGAATTACCAGGACGGATATCACGGAAACTATAGAATACAGCAAAAAAAACTGTCTGAGTCTTTGGTAGAGGGCAAATAAAAAATTTTGAAAAAGCATGACTGTTACCAACAACACTCCCAAATGTTATGCCGTATCATCCTGATGTTAAGTGAGCCACATTATAAATTAGATCCATTCATTTTTTTAATTCCAAGGAAGAGAGGACAAGTCATGTATAAAAATATATAGAATTTTAAAATTCAAAGGCTATTTTACTTAAACACCAACTGCTGAAGAAAATCTTAGTGATATTTTCTCCCAAGCATGAAATTATGCCTGGTTACAAGACAATAGCAAATTATCAATCGAAATAAAATCATTTACAAAGAAAAACATAAGTTTATTAATAAATCAATAGTTTTCATATAAATTAGAAAGTTAAATAAAGAATAATGATAAGTAAAAATGATTTGAAGAATAGTAAAAACATCTACAAAAAGACATAGACAAATTAATACATTCAGGAAACAAATAAAATATTTAAAAAAATGCTTTTGTTACTTACTCAAATAGTTCTCTGAGCTGATAAACCAATAAAATTTTTCAAACCAATATATCTTTCTAGTTTTTGATATGATCACCTGTGATTTAATAGTTTTTAAAGTTTCACGTGCTTTTTTTTCTGCTGATTTTAAGGCTTTTTTCTGTGATTCCAAAGTTTTTTTCTCTTTTAATGCTGCGTGTTTCTTATCGTCATAATACCTTCAACCAAATCATTTAGATATATTTTATATTTATTTAATTTTTTTTAAACTTTTATTATGATATTTACAACTGTATTAGTATAAATACATCAAGTAAATTTGTACAGAGAAATATTATTACATGAAACACGCTTGTTGAGAAACTACCCACTGGTAGCACTCTAATATTTAATTTAAATAGTAATTAGAGGTGAATAAAATAAATATCATAACTAACCATGTATTAGCAAGAATACACTTCAGGAACATCACAATTCATAAAGCCATAGACTAACAATATTATATTACATGCATTCGAAGTTTAAATAATTATAAATGATGCATAATTTTTTACTACATTTTTAATATTGTGTCACAATTGCAATGGTATTGGTCATACATAATAATATGTAATATTCGTATTGGTCAACCGAAAATTTTATTATATTTTCAAAATCATTTGAGTAGGGAGTAGAATAGGGGTTTTAGGGCCATAAATTGCAAGATTATTATGCCCGTAAAAAAAAATTGTGATTAAATATTGATATTTGTGATTTTCTTGACAAAACTTTTTATTGTTATTTCCTGATTTTTCTAGTGTTTGTGGATTTGAAACTGAATGTGAGAAACAAGTCCAACCCCCTACACCTATACATTTTTATTTCAAATATTTAAAAATTCTTTAACTATTCTAGCCGTGGAGAACTACCAGTTGAACCTAAATTAGCACATTAAGGGGCAATTCTAAGCCATCCCTACCTATCACCATTGACTTCAGAATTAGATGTTTGTCAATATTATAATTTGCATTGGACACAGTGGACTACGCTTTCCAAAGAGTATGAGAATTCTTTTATTTAAACCACCAATTCCTGATACTTTTTTAGTATCTCACCCACAGTTGTGCTTCAATTATTGGAATATTATTAACCTTTGCTTTCTTTTCTCCAAAATCTATAAGAATATTTGGTCTGTTGAGGCACACTATGTGATCTGTACGAGAGTGGTCTGAAAAGTTTCCGACTGCAACGTGAAGATGGCAGCACTCGTAAATAAAAGCAAGGGAATTTTGTTGTTCATCTGTTGACAGTTACCCACCAAAGTTTCCGCCATTTAGGACGCGCAGTTTTTATGTAACAGCCATTTGAGTGAGTTGATGTGAGTGTTTTATGAAAATGGACAAAATCGAGTATCGAGCTGTCATTAAATATTTGCTTTTGAAAGACAATACACCTGTTTTTTTGGGGTAGTCATGGAGTTATTTTAATTGACTATCTTCAAAAATGAAAAACCATTACAGGAACATACTACGCATCATTACTTGACAAGCTGAAGACAGAACTTTCGGAAAAACTGCCATATTTGCAGAAAAAGAAAATCCTGTTTCACCAAGACAACACACCGTCTCACACCTCAGCGGTTGCCATGACGAAAATCCACGAATTACGGTTTGAACTGCTTGACCCATCCGCCTTACTCACCAGATCTGGCCCCAAGCGACTACTTTTGATTCAATTATCTAAAAATTGTGGTCGGAGGACAGAGATTTTTGTCAAATGAAGAGGCAATCACCTTTGTGAACAATTATTTTGCAGAGAAAAACGCCGAGTACTTTTTGGATGGGTTGCAGAGTTGGGAGCATCGCTGGGAGAAGTGTGTAGAGTTACAAGGAAACTATGTTGAAAAATAAAAAAAAAATCCAGAAAAAAAGTCTTGTATTTTTGTTAGGTCGGAAACTTTTCAAACCACCCCCGTAATAATAGATTCATCCCTCTACATCTTGAAGAAATCTTTTTGAAGTAGTCTATTGGAAATATACTTATAATATGGCACTTTTTCATCCAATAGGTAAACTCTCATCAGCAGAGTCTGATGGAAAATTTTTACTACATTATGTCTTATTGGATAAGATATTTCCATATCAGCCAGCACTCTGCATCCAGCTGTGCCAACGTTTATTTCATGGTGGACCCACAAAATGAATCTTGACCTTCCCACTCTGGTTAGAATAAGTTTGGTTGTACATCTAGAACAAACCCTCCCTCCCCCACAAATGCCAGAAGTAGCGAGATAGGATGTAAATGAAAAATCCAGCTGTGAAATGTCGGATTGATTAAAGCTTCTATGAGCACAGTTCAAATTTATCAGATTTATCTTTTGGACCATATTTTCTGAATGAGCTATTAGCAATAACCTGATCTTGAATGGCAACTACAAAGCAATCCAGCTTGAAGAATAATTTCTATATAAAAGAATACTTTTTCATTTAGACAGGAACAAGGTTTGAGAGTTGAAGACGTTTGCTCAAGATTAATTGAGTCGATTCTTGCCTATAATGCTCTTGTTTGATCCCTGCATTGTGTTACTCATCATATGCACGCATGCTGTTGGAATATCAGCCGTTTTCAAGTTTTTAGCTTTCATCGGACAAAACTTTCTCATGGCAGCGAAGTGTTTACAGAGGAAACATGCCATGAAAAAAGTTAGACTAACTTCATTTTTTTGGTTGTATTTTCCAAGGGGGGGGGGGAGGAGGATCATTGTTCAATTGGGTCGAGGTGTTTTAATGCCATATTTACGAAAATCCAATTGCTTAAGTAAACTTCTAAAGGGTGAATTTTTGGCAACAATTATCCATCTTTAAAGAAGGCTGAGTTTCTGTTTTAGGATAACTAGATTGGTAGCATTTCGAGATGTATGGAATTTTTTGCAGCTCTACCTTGATTGATTTTCATAGATTCTAGGTCCTCATTACAAAATGGATGCTGTTTTTTTATATGACCTTGTGGAATCCTCTGATACACAGCTTTTATTATGGCTTCCGTGATTTTCTTCAGGGATGGATCTAGTTCATTAGACTCTATACCAGTTGTTCGATATTGTTTAGATACAGAAGCAAACTTTTCCCAGTCAGCTTTCTTTGTGTTCCATTGGGCCCTTCATTTCTCTTTGATCTTGTATGGATGAAAAGTTTCATTAACTACTACGATAATGTAACCAAAGGCTTCAGGTGATGAGCAGTGTGTGAGAAGAAAACAAAGCAATTGATGAGTGAGCTAAAACTATGTCTTAATATTTTGTTTCGTAAACTGTGTTTTGCTAAGTAAATTGTCCAATTTTCAATAATTCAGCCTTATAAATTGATGAACATGAATAAAAAAATGGAGAAATTCCAGTATTGGCATATACAAAATAAAATTAAGGACTCTTTTAAGTTCAGAGGATTGAGACAAAGATGAAAATCTTAAATTTTCTAAAAAGGGTGAACCTTTTGTTCCCGTAAGAGATTTGTAGGTCTACAATTTTGAAGAGTGAAATCAAGCATTACATTTAAAATTATGGAAACATTTTCTCCCTAATTTTTCCCCACTTTGACTATGACTGCCTGGTATACGGTAAACTGTCTGGTAGGCTTGAAATGAGACTAAAGAAACTAATTAATTGTTTTGTTAGATTTATCAATGGGGTCTCCAATCCAAACACTTCCTTGCCTCCAGTTGATATGCAGAGTTTAAATGGCTTTATCCTCAACACATTGGCAGTTGAAGTCACCAAACTTTATTCTCCCTCCTAGATATTCTCCTCTTTTAGGATTGCAGAGTACATACTTTGTACAGTCCAAATTTAGCAGCTGCTTTTTGCAGATTTAGGAAGGCACTCTCCATACTCAGAAAACTGTATCCTATGACATCCAAATTGTCGGTATAGGCTAGTATTCAGCACGATTTGTTGAAAATCGTCCCTCCTATTTGGATTCCCGACTCTCTTATGGCACATTCCAACGCAACATTAAAAAGCAGGCATGCTAAACAATCACCTTGTCTGAGTCCCTTGGGGCTATAGAAAAACTCAGATGTATCTCCGAACACTCTCATTAAGCACTGACCTTCATGGTCATTCTGACAAGGCGGACTAGCATCGGAGGGATTTCAAGAGCGATTATTCCATGATAAAGCTCCTCTCGAATCACGCTGTCATAGACAGTCGGAAATCCACAAAGAGGTGGTACACTCAACCGCTCTCTCCATCATCGCTCTCACTTAGAAAATTTGGTCCGTCGTAGCTTTGCATTTCATAAAGATATATAAGACATTGGAAAATATCTTATAAGCAGATGGAAGTAACAATATTCCTCTGTAGTTCTCACAGTTAAGAAGATCTCCCTTCTTGTGAATGGGACATACAATAGTTTTGTACCATTCTTCAGGAATGCACTCCTTAGCCTAGATGTCCAAGATCAGGTTCTCTATATACTTGGAGATAGCTTCTCCTCCGTGGAGGTCACGATGGCCGAGTGTGTTGGAGCGTTGCCTGTTTTAGCATTCTTGTGCATAGCAACGCTGGTTCAAATCCAGCCTGGGAGTGGTTGACTTTTATTTCGTGGCGGACCCATGGAATGAAACTCGACCATCCCACTCAGGTCAGAATAGGTTTGGTTGTATTTCTAGAACTTGTATAGTTTAAAGATCTAAATAAGTTGCAGAACTGGAAATAAATTTATATTTTATGTGAGATAACAAATATTTATTCATTATACAGGATTGATTTATTCTTATCACAATGATACATTTGCCTAATGGTATGTATAAGGATATGTACATAATATTGTCGGAGTCTGTATTATATTAAGCTTATGTAATGTATGGAAGGCTTTTCTGATATTTTGGGCGAGCTCAGACGCCCGTATTCCTTCAGTTCCTCCATTCCTCCATTACGATCTCTTCTTTCTGCTTTAGTTAATTATCAAATTCTTTTATATTTTATAATTATATATTTTTTTATATCAGAGATCAATGTGAAATGGTTAACTATTTCAAATAAAAAAATATTAGGTATTTTAAAAGAAGCTAATATAGAAAATTAGCTATTTCAGCCTTGTTAGATAACATCAATGAAAATAAAATCTACATTATATTAAAAAATGCTTAATTTTACTGATATAATGAATTTAATCAAAATCGTTAAAACCGTTTTCGAAAAAATTGTAAAAATGTGTTTAGTCCACTTTATAAAGTGCCAATTCTGGTTTACCGATTTTGACAAAAAAGTTGCTGTAACATTCCTAGCATATAAAAACCTTAAATATGTAATTTCACTTCTGTACGACTTTTCGTTTTTGAGCTAGACTCTAACACACGCACGCACGCACACATGTGCGTACGCGGAACTTGGTTATTTGGACTCAGGGGACCTCAAAACGTGTATTTCTGTTGAAAACCCAGATTCCAAAATTTCCACGATCACAATACTTACCCTTACTATATATTACATATATAAGTAAGTGAAAGTAAAAATATTAACCTTTTAGCATTAGCAAAAGCTGATAATGACAGGTCAAGATCTACTTCTATTAACTCCAGATCCATATTAGATTCAGCGAAGGGATCACTAAAATAAAAAGTAAAAATATATTATTATTCATGTGAGTATAAAAATATAAGAAAAGACTGATTATTTATTTTATAAACTTTTTTTAAGAATTATTACTAAAATAATAAGGAATGACTTTATAACATATTATAATTATCTTGAAATATACCATTGCTTCAGGATAATTAAGACTCACTGATGAAAGATTTTAACTAATAACTAGGTCTCTAATTATTAAAATATAGCACTAGGTTCTGAGGTATTTCATCACACTCGTGCAACTTTTTTCAGTTTTTGTCTAAATAACTCCTAAACGTCCAAGTAGCCTCCAATTACGGTACCTATACGACGGTACCTACCTCAAATTCCAATATTTTAAACTTAATAAGAATTGTAAATAATTAATTTTATGTATAGCCACACAGGCATTTATTATGTATCTATAATTTGTCCTAAAAGGACAAAAGTCCCAGGATAATAAAAAAAAAATATTTTCAATATCTGAAAAGTAATGTCAATATCCATGCTGCAAAAGTCAATAAGTGCAAAAAAATAATCAGACCACAAGAAAAAGTTAATTTCTTAATTTTTAACTCGACTTTCTATTCAATCTTTATTGGATGATTAAAGTAATGGTGTAATATTTTAAATAACATTTTTATTTTATATATTTGAACAAGAACCAGGCCAAGATTTACAAGAAAAGGTAGAAGCTTATCTTTTAACATTATGATCTGGTTTAAATTATTTCAATTCAATCACATGTACAATATTCAGGAAGCAGTCATTATAAAGTTTTTATTAGTGTCGACGTTTCAACCCAAACATGTGGGACATCATCAGGGCATGGTTCGAACACTGGTATTCAAGCATGAGAGTACTTGAATACCTTCAGTGCTCGAACCATGCCCTGATGATGTCCCACATGTTTGAGTTGAAACATCAGCACTAATAAAAATTTTATGACTGTGTCCTGAATATTTATCACCCAATTAAAATAATAGCTTAAAAATTATAAACTTGTTTTCCATAAGATACTATTAACCGTTGCTGACTTTGAGCCAATAATAAAAAAATGTTATTAAGTGTCCAAATAGTTTTTATGTATACAATCTTGACAAGATAGGAATGAATATTGTAAATAGATGTTTAATTAAATGAATGTGGTATATTCATTTCATTAAATAGAATCAAAATGCAGCATAATTTCAACTTTTACAATTGTGAATTGCTGGAAAATTCACAAAAAACTATCAATAGTAAAATATTAGCTATTCATATCAACTATTCATAATACCAAAAATCTGGTACGCGCATGATACGACTTTCACTTACCACCCTCTTCATAGCAGAAATAAGAATTTTCAGACAAAGGGAAGTGAAAGTAAAAATTATAATCGCTACATTTATTTATATTTCATTGAGGGTATTTTTATTTGTTCAAGAACCCTTATACAAACAAATTTTAATATTTATATCGCTGTAATCTATACAATTAAATATTAAATAATACCAACAATAGCATATATGAAAACTGTATAAGTATATGTACATAATATTGTCGGAGTCTGTATTATATTAAGCTTATGTAATGTATGGAAGGCTTTTCTGATATTTTGGGCGAGCTCAGACGCCCGTATTCCTTCAGTTCCTCCATTCCTCCATTACGATCTCTTCTTTCTGCTTTAGTTAATTATCAAATTCTTTTATATTTTATATTTATATATTTTTTTATATCAGAGATCAATGTGAAATGGTTAACTATTTCAAATAAAAAAATATTAGGTACTTTAAAAGAAGCTAATATAGAAAATTAGCCATTTAAGCCCTGTTAGATAACATCAATGAAAATAAAATCTACATTATATTAAAAAATGCTTAATTTTACTGATATAATGAATTTAATCAAAATCGTTAGAACATGGAAAAATGTGTTGAATCGATGATTTAAAGTGTCACTTCCGGTTATACGATTTTGATGAAAAAGTTGCTGTAACATCACAGGCATATACAAACCTTAAATATACAATTTAACTTTTAACGTACGACTTTTCATTTTTTGAGCTAGAGTGTTAACACACACACAGTTTCAGAAACCTGACACTAACTTTAGAACCTGTCACAAACAAGGGATTTAGTCCATTGAGAGCGCTTAGGTCTTTTACCATTAGAAACATCCGGCTTTCCTTTTAACTCAGTTTTCTGAACATTAATTTTTTTCCAAGTAGGTGTCGTTGGCCCCATGCTCAACCCCCAACCTGGAGGACCGGGTCATTTGTCTTCAGGGTTTTCTTCCCCAAGGCTAGTTGCTTTCACCACAGCTGAAGAGTCCAACCCACCCTCGGTTTGATTTCGGAGTTGCCTTCTCCTATTGCCTTCACTACGGCTATGAGGTAGGTCCCCCCAGGATGCAGTTTAACGTCATGCCAAGGACAATTTTTTTTTCATACCGTTTACTAAAATACTCATAACTCCTTTCAGGTTTCTCTCCTAAGTCAACATCATTACAACAGTTGGAAAGCTAAATCATTGCTCTTGAAAACTATATCAACAACTTCTAGATTTCACACCTTTATAAGGAATAAATAAATAAGAACTCTCCAAAAGTTTTTATTTTTTACCATTTACTTACCATTAAGCCTAATTTACTTATGGGATTCTGGTTTGCGCCATTTTGTGTATATTATAAAGCCTAGTTTGCCTGAAACAGCACAGACATCCGGAGAGCCTAGTGGGGAAATAAAAGTGAGGAAAGAAGACCCTTCCTCAGAGGTTAATGACAAAGTATGCCCCATTTGTGGGCTGAGTTTCAAGGGTGATAGAGGTCTCAGAACCCATATAGCTAAGAAGCATCCCAGGGAGGCATATGACGCTAGAATGAGGGGCTTGATTGGTAATAAAGAAAAGAAAAAAATGTAGAGGATGAGGAAGAGGGAGTAAAGAAATTTGGTCGGCAAAATAATGTGGATAATATGGAATTTGACGAGGCAGTGGGCAATATTCTAAAATTTCTAAAAACAGTCAACGAAGAATTGCTTGGCCCACAACACCCTGCTGTCAAGTTCTATAAGCTAAGAAGGTAAAACATGATTGATATGGTTGGCAAGGGTGCGGGAAAAGTGTCAAATCCACAGAGGGCCAACAAGGCATATAGGAGTCGTCGGCAAGAACAATATCAATATGAGGTAGCCCAGTATAATTATTATAATAGAAGAAAGAAAGTGGTGTATAATATTATGAACGCCGACGCTCCTAAGCAATGCCCTCTGAAGGTAGCCGAGATTGAAGGCCACTTCAGAAGCCTCTTTGAGAAAGAAAATCTCTGCAAACGTGCGGGCTATGAAAATTGTGCTCCAACGCCAAATCTTACATCCATCGATGTCCAAGTAGTAAAAAAGGCGATCAAATCTACGTCATTGGACACATCACCGGGGCCGGACGGAGTTTTAGTCCACACGACTAAATTCTTAGATGTCATATATCATAAAGACTATTGCGGAGATCATGCTGAGGGTGGCGTATGTACCAGAGCCTTTACGTCAAGGGCGCACAATCTTGGTCTACAAGGGTAAAGGAAATGCCAACAGCATATCATCATGGCGACCCATTACCATTTATTCAATTGTGCGCCGAATTATTGAGAAGGTTCTGGACCATGAACTGAGAAAACAGACCACCTTCAGCAAAAATCAGAAGGGCTTCATCAGAGGCCTACTGGGAGAACACGTAAGCGCAAGAATCATCGATGCAATCATAAAAGATGCTAAGAATAAAAAGAATGATTGCGCGGTGGTGTTTCTAGATGTCGTCGGTGCTTTTGACAACGTTGGTCATGAACATATAATCGCTCACATAAGAGGCAAGAGGAGTGTCACCGGACCTGAAAAACGTAATTGCGGCTCTCCTGGGGTCAAACCAAATCAAGATTGGAATCGAGCCCACTCGGCTAGCTGGATCAAGGTGCGACCAAGAATGTGAGATCCTCCAAAATTCATGCTAATTTTCGTATGGATAAGTAAAGCCATGTCGAAGTTATCACAACTTTTGTGATTTTTGAAAAAAACATTTAAGGGTCCAGACTAGGGAGAAATTTTGAGCATAAAATTTTCATTTTTCGATTGATATGAAAATTTGTATTTAAGGGTTTTTCGAGGTACAAAATACAAATCTCAACTTTGTTTCTCCTTAAAAAATATTTGAGCCCACTTTACTCCTTAGATCAGTTTTATTTGTTTCAATATTGAACACATACTATGTCTATATGCCAAATATATATATTTTTTTAAACTGACGGGTATTAAAAGTAATATTATGTGCACAACATATAGTATTTTGTCAAGATTCAACTCGAAAATAAGAATAAAGCATGTATTGTACATATTATACCCACATTAAACCATGAAATATTTTTTTTTTGAGATTAAAAAAAAATGATATTCATTTTTCGCACCTCTAAAAACCCTTTAATATGAATTTTCATTTAAATTAAAAAATGTAAAGTTTCTGCTCAATATTCTGACTTATATTAATAGCTCTTATGTGTTCAATATTGAAACAAATAGAACTTATCTAAGGAGTAAAGTGGGTTTAATATCTTTTAAAGAAGTAACAAAGTCGAGATTTGAACTTCCTACCTTGAAAAACAATTAAATACAAATTTTCATATCAATCGAAAAATGAAAATTTTGCGCTCAAAATTTCTGCCTAGTCTGGACCCTTAAATAATTTTTTCAAAAATCACAAAAGTTGTGATAACTGAGACATGGCCTTACTTATCCACATCAAAAGTAGCACAAAATAAGAGGATTAAGGCAAGTCTGTAAAAATAAAAAGAAATAAATATATATCACCTTAAACGCATGGATATTTGATTGATTTCCAACTTAATAGATGATATTAAAGAGGCAACAGAGTCATTACATCGAGTGGCTTCATCAACTAGATCTTTTATACTTCTCCAAGGCATTTGTGATGCTATAGCAGATCTTAAAATATTTATGGCTTGGTTAACTACAGAGGCATTACTCATAATAAGTTCTGCTTTCTTTTTATTATATTGCTGTTTTGAAGATAGTTCTTCCAGTCTTGAAGATTGGTCTTTACGAATTTTATTTACTTTCTTCATAGCTTCTTTTTCCTGAAAATATAATTTAAAAAAAAGAAAGATGAAATATTAATTATTTAATAACTATGGAGTATTAATATGAATCAACTTCTATTTATTTCAAATGACTATAATGTGGATGTTCTGATATCTTGCTTACAAACCAGAGTGCAACTCATCCAAGTAATTTTCAATAATAATATAGATAGAAGGAATTAGACTATAAGTTATTGTATCCGGAAGATGACAAAACTACATTCCAGTTCAATTTTCTAAGAAAAAGCAACATTAACATTTATTGCCCATAACTGTGACAAAGACAATATCATAATATTTGTACTAAGAAAATAGAAGAACAAGGAAGAAATTCAGTGAACATAAAAAATATTGACCTTTCTGATTCATAATTCAACATTTCTGTATCTTTCAGACAAACATTATAACAAGACAAAACTATCGACAAACAAAACTATCTAAAATAAACAGAACTTATTTTCCCTTTACATTCATAAGATTTTATAATGCAAAAGATCAAAGCCTCAGCAATGAACATGAAAAGTTAGTAGATAGTGCTTATAGCGTTGCTTTCTATATTTGGTACCCAAGATCATGAACATGAAAATTGTGATTTTTTTTCTCCTGAATTTTAGTGAAATAATTTTGTGTTTTGCCACTCTTCATTAATTTCAATTACTTTAAAAATTAAATCACAAAATATATCGATTTAGTAAATCATAGTAAGCTACAACACTTTCTCTAATAATCTGAAAATCATACATAATATTGTGGTGGGAAACTTTCTGTAGCAATTTCTAGGTGGCTTAGCATTGGACTCTTCTATTTATTCATATGAGTGATTATCCCATTAGGACTGTTTGAAACTTATTTCAATGTCCATTATTGCAGCAGAGGTTATGGAAAAAGGTTTAATATGATTGATATTAGAATAAGGATATTAGGAGGGGGGGGGGGCAAATGGGAGGTCTAGAGAGGGAGATGGGTGCGGGAATCTCCCCAACTCAGCAGAGCGATCAAGTGTAAGTGCCCTATCCACTGCTTGTGAGTACCCAGATCTCCTTATCCCTATCAACGCCTACTGTTACCTCCATGTGGCGCCCCCCAGGGAGTCCGATGGGACTTGCGGCCGACAGAGGCGGGATTCGTTGCTTCTATGTATATGCAGATGATATATGTGAGATGGAAGCGATGAACCTGTTAGGCACCCAAGCTAGGTCGGGGCGCACGAGCTGAGGCTGAGTGGCAGAGGGTGGGTAAAAATATACTGTCTTTTTATCGACCCTCTTGGGGAACCTGGCGACACCTCATTGAACGTTATACCGGCTGCAGGGAAAGAGGGTAGTACCTGCAGTTCTATTAGACCCCCATACTCCTGGGAACAAAATGTCCAAAAACAATGAAAAAATAAATATTAATATTAAATCGACGGTATCCGAGGAGGACTTGTCATCTGAGGAGCTTTTAAACATGTCAGAGGTCATCTCTGACACGCTTGATGAATCTCTGGTGGGAAAACTGCTAAAGACCCAAACAGAAGATGTTGGAACACTTCCAAACGGAGTGGAAGGAGGATGAAGTTATGGAGGTGGCCAGTGCTATGGTGCAGGCCCCAACAGAATTAATGGACGTGGAGGATATAAACAAACCAGAAATGGGTATAACAGGAAGCAGCCCATCGCATCCTGGACTCTTGAGAGGGAGGCCTCAGATCAAGGGCAGACCACAAGCAAATTGGAGCCTACTCAAAGGCAGGGTAGTGGAGGATACAAAGGCCCCAAAAGGCCTGGCTAACGAAGCTACCGTGCCGGAGGGGAAAGCTTCAATACCACAGACAGGGGATGAGAAGGAGACACCCAAAAGGCCAACATCAAAGTTTGCGAGGCCACACAGGCCAGCTACTAAGAATGCGAAGCCTCAAAGGTGGAGGTCTAGATCAAGACTGACTGTGGAAAAACAAGCAAGAACATCCCTAGGAACCTCAGCTACAGCAGCTAAGAAACTGAGGGAAGCCGAGAAGACCAAAAATTACGCTAAGGTCACAAGAGGACAGTTGGTAGCGGCAGTTCCTGTGGGCTACCCACAGACCCAACTCACCTACGACCAATGCGAAGACCTCAAAGAAGCAATTGCAAGATTGATGAGCTCACTATAGGAGGAGACATACACCCGAAGTTTGATGGAGCGCTCTTCAAGCTCGGTGGATGTCTGACATCTTGCTTAGATGACCATACGGTAGAATGGTTAAAAAAAATCACACCAAGCATCGCAATCAAGGAAGGTCTAACCCTATAAGCTTGTGAGGCAGGTGACTTAACAAAAATCATTAGGATCGGAGCCTTCTTTCCAGGAAAGGCTTTGCCTGCTGATTATTACCTAAACCGGCTCCAGATTCAGAATCAGTCCATAACTGGCATCAATACCTGGACCGTGTTCAATTTCAAGGCTCTGGAAAGAGGATCCTTTGGAGTGTTCAACATAGCGGAGACCAGCCTCAACGTTATGCTGGCTGCAGGGAGAAGGGGTAGACCCCCATACTCCTGGGAACAAAATGTCCAAAAACAATAAAACTGACATGTATCCCTGTATGAAACTGACTGCATCCCTCACTACACATGGGATTCGGGCTTGTTGAGGTATATGTGTAATAATCTTCAGGCACTTGGCATCGAGCAGTAAGCCCGAGAGGAAACACAGGAAGAAGCGCCAAAGGCGGTCACATCTAAAGAGAAAGAGACCAGGGAATCTTCCTCTTCTAGAAAGAGTGCGTCGAGGACGGGGTCGAGGCCGTCGGCCGGGTCAGGAGGCGGGGACAAGTCAAAGGAACCAGTGAAAGCTGGCTACAGAGGCGAATTCCAGCCACTGTCGCGGTCTGGTGGCCAGACTTCGGTCTAGCGGCACTCCTCAAATACCGGTGGGGTGTCGAAAGCGAGGTCGAGTGGTGGGGAGAAAGCAAAAGATAAAGTGAAAACAGTTTGATGGAGGAACCCTACCATCAGCTTCGTCAGGAAAACCACCCTCTAGGAAATAAATCATTTAAAAATAATTATGAAACTACTGCAGATCAATATCCACCACTGCAATGGGGCATGTGGTGTATTGCAACAGTATATAAAAGGTAAGGATATTGATATTATTTTAATACTTGAACCTTACTTATATGAAGGCAGTATCCTAGAGCCTGCCTACTTTATAAAAATAAACTAAAACTGCTGCCTCTATGGCAATTCTGTTCAAGAGATCTTGCAGCAGCCAAATATACCCATCAAGGGGATAAGAGATCAATAATCATAGCGGCAGTATATCTGCCATATGAACACCCAGAACCTGCAGAGGGAATTGAAGAAATCCTAAGATGCAGTGGGGAGATTATAGCTGCCCTGGATGCCAATGCACACACTGAGATCTAGGAGAGCTAAAATACCAACTCTAGAGGTGAGAAACTCTTAGAAACTATAATTAAATATGATCTTGATATTCTGAACAAGGGGAATAAGCCTACCTTTTGTAATAGGACTAGAACGAAGATCATAGACATAACAGTAGCGACTCAAACGATTAGTGTCCTTATAGATAACTGGCATGTCTCTGATGAAGAAACATGCTCGGATCACAGGTATATTAGATTCGATATATCTGACAGAATACAACATGATGTGAAATATAGAGATCCCAAACGTACAGACTGGGCGTCCTGTATTACTAACTTGGAGGCGGCTGTTAAATGTTGCCCCAAAGTTATCCACAATACATGGAAACTTGAATGTCTAAATACTTCACTTACTGATGCTATGATTAGATTATATTTGGCCAGTAATGAAATAACACAACCAACAGGAAAGTGTCCTGGTAGAATGGTAGCCTAACAAAGCAACGAACACTCACAAGGAGATTGTTTAATGCTGCTAAAACATCTGGCAATTGGGATACCTATAAGAAAGCTCTTACTGAGTATCACAAATCTATCAGGAGAGCCAAAAGACAAGCCGGAAAAGGTTTTGTCTGGAGGATGATAACATCCCAGCGGTATGTTAAGTAAACAAAATACTGTCAAAACAAAACAATACAGGTACGATGGGAACACTCAAACATGAGGATAAATACAACATGAATGAAATTGAAACGTTGAGTGTTGTAGCAAAAGCTCATTTCCCAAGTTGTTATAAGACAGTAACGGAATCTCTTGACCCCACTACACAGGTTCGTGGTACTGGTGCACATATGTGGGGTCTAGCAAGAAGAGTGATCACAAACAGCAGACTTGAATGGGCAGTGAATTCATTCTCTCCTTTTAAATCTGCTGGAACTAATAGATCTTTCCAGCATTGCTGCAGAAGGGTCTCTCAGAGATAAGGCCATATCTACTGGAATTACTAAGAGGTAGCCTAGCACAGGGATATCTACCATGTATATGGAGGATATCCAAGGTGCGATACATTCCAAAACCAGGAAGAGTCTTATGAAGACCCCAAGGCATTTAGGCCAATATGTCTGTCATCTTTCATAATGAAGACTGTTAACGCCACAGCGTTAATTTATTTTATTTTTACAGTTAAAAACTCCACAGCGTTAATTCAATTTATTTTACACTTAACTAGTTTGATTAATTGTTGATTTGTTTTATTTTAGCAAAGTGAAATCAATTAATAATATGTGTAGGTGGTAGAATTGAGAAGAGACAGTCTGACTCCGTCCGTCACTGAGCTGAGTACTGCCAACTTCAACAATGCCCACTGCAGTTCTACTCTGAAAAGACGTACTTCTCTCGTCGTGCTCGCCGCTGCCCATTTGCAGTTCGTTTTTAGCACGCTCATTGAAGAGTTACAATTGGTTTCTGCATAGAGACAGAGATTTACGAACGACCTGCTTCGTCCACGTAACGTTGTACAATCTAATTATTTGTTATATATATAAATTTCATATTGGAACTTTAGAGAAGTTTTTTATTTTTTATTTTATTTTTATTATAATTTGGGCCATAGAAATAGTTTTTATTTATGATCAAGCATGAAAATGTTTCATTAATATTGTCACAATTGTTTGTTCAGCTGGTCTTTATTTTATGCTAGAAGTTTGTTATTTTTTTACCTATCTAACAAGTGTAAAATTGATTCATTTTGTTTTTACGTTTTCAATATTAGATTTCAAGAATGTTCCAAAATAA